TAACCAGGACCGACTTTCCAAGTAGAAAGCCGCCTCTTCTTCATCATCCTCCGCGTCGTCCTCTGTATCCACCTTATACTCTGCCGTGTCACCGACCATCCTTCGAAGCCTCGTGTCCCGAACCGTTCTTGTCAAACTCGCTGGTTCCCAGATCTCCTCTTCGAGAAAATAGGGCGCATCAGTTGCCGGTCTCCTCGAGGCTCTGGCGGGACTGTAACCATCAAGGCGGTCGGCTTCGAGGCCAAGAGCAGATTGGTCGTCCAGGGCTGCCAGGAGGACCAGCAGAGCATCAGATCCGATAGCCCGACGGCGTCTTTGTTGTCGTTCAACCTGGTCTGTGCGGTTGCTGTCTTGAAGGGCTGGACAATCACTGCATGTGACGCGTCGACCGCCTATTTGCAGTCCCAAGGGATCAGCCGATTGCTGGTCCTGAGGCACCTCGACCTCCGCCTCCTGGGATCAGCCCTCACGATCTCCTGCGCGCCAAGGGCTCAATTTACGGCACAAGAGATGCCGGACGATCTTGGTGGCGGAAGCTCTACCGCACTCTCCGAAAATACAAGTGGAAGATGTCAAGCATTGAGCCCGCGCTGTTCTTCTTAGCAGACAAGGATGGCAACCTCGAGGGCATCCTTCTTACTCACGTCGACGACCTATACAGTGCAGGAGAAAGCGAGAACTACCACGGCACCTTAAAGGAGCTGCAAAAGGACCTGCACCTAAAGACCAAGAGCGGCGAGTTCAGGTTCTGTGGGAAGAACATCGTGCAGAAGGAGAACGGCATCGAAGTGGACCAGTACGATGCCATCGAGGGCATCGACTACATGGTTCTAGACCCAGAGAGAAGGAAAGCACCAGGATCCCCTCTTACAGAGGCAGAAAAGACCCAGTTTCGTGGGCTTATCGGGCAGATGGGCTGGGTCACACGGCAATCAAGACCCGACCTCATGGTGAACGTGAGCGTGGCTTCGCAATCCATGGGCCACCCGACCGTGAAGGACGTCGTGAACCTCAACAAGGCGGTGAAGCAGCTGAAGGAGACCTCTGAGGCAAAGTGGTGCTTCAGACCAAGTGACTTCAAGTTGGAAGAGACCGTTGTGTTTTGCTTTGCAGACAGCAGCTTCGCTAACGTCGGCGAGGCAAAGTCCCAGTGCGGGTACGTGGTCGGGCTCACGAGCAAGAAGATCCTGGATGGAGAAGAAGTGCCCATCTACGTGTTGGAGACCTATTCGGGCTCCATCAAAAGAGTCTGCCGCAGCACTCTTGCTGCAGAGGCAAATGGCTTCCTTGCTGGCGTCGAGGCCGGGGAGTTCTTGAGGGTGTTGGTGATGGAAGTCATCCACCCGACAGTTCCCGTGTATGAGCTCGACGTGCACTACCTCAAGGAGAAGATCATTTGCATAACAGACGCAAGAAGCCTTGAGCAGACTCTGAACAAAGACGCTGGCCAGCCTCAGGACAAGAGAGTCCGGATTTTGCTGGCGCAGGTCAAGGACCTCTTGGGCGAGAACGACTTCGAGGACGACTCGCCGGCATATGCGCACTGGTGTGATACATCCAGGATGCTGGCGGATGTCTTGACTAAGCTGGGATGCGACCGCGAGCCCATGTTGTCTGCGCTGTACGATGGAACCTGGTGCCTCAAACCCTCTGCAGAGGCGCGCCACAAGAAGCTTATCGTGCAAGCTGGCCGACATGCTCGCAAGGCGAAGAAGAACCAAGCAGCCGAAGTCGCCTAGGATGTCCGACCTTTTGATTTTGCCAGTCCCTGCCAAGGAGCCGAGGACGGGTGAAAAACCACCTGTGTAGCAGAAGCATTGGAGCCTGCAAGCTTTGCTCCATTCCCGTTGTACCCGCATTGCGGCTCACATGGCAGGGCGCCCTTAGGGAAAAAGAAAGCTTCCGTCGTGTCTGTGCGCTGCCACGGGCATTTTGATTTAATTTTTTTTGATCCTCGGGTTCTAATTTTTTTTGATCCTTATCAATTTTTTTTTGATCCCTCACCCGGTTGCGGATGGTTGTTCGCTCGCTGTTGGAATCTTCGAGCACCACACTCCGAACCAGAAAACTGGTGCTAGCCCGATTCGACGATGCGCATCCGTGGATTTGAAGCTGCGAGCTGGCAGGATAAACGAAACTAGTGTGAAGATATTCTGCCGCTTGGCCGCTATGTATTCGGCATCTACAGGCCGTCTTGGTCGAGCCGCAGGCCTCCCAAAACTGTGCCCACGCCATGCGAATGATGTTGAAGATGTTGCGGATGTTTCTTGCCAGGCCGACAGGCGGCCGGTACGTGACCGCATTTCAACACCCTTCACGTCGATGGCTTTCAGCTCTTTCCAGGTTCGTAAAGTCTCAGGCTTTGCACTTGGGGGACCATTCTCTGGCCGCAGGATCGTCGAGTGCAGCTGTCTCCAGCTCCTACGGCTGTCGAGGACTGCATCACTGCATGCTAAGGGTGCCTGACAGCAGCATATTTCTTCCGCAAGATTCGGCAGACCGGAGAGCTGACCAGTCGATCGCACACGGAGCTACGTGTCGCTCATGTGCAGGAGTTCGAGCCAGCTTCCCAAAAGCTCCGACCCAGTCGAGACAGGTGGGGCCACAGACCCACGAAACAAGCATCATCACAGCCGAAACAGTGTCAATTCACTCACCTTTCTCCGTGTGCTCAGCAGCCGGCGACAGTGCCAGGATGCCAACACCCCATGTCAGCTCCAGCTTGATCGAGGACTGGCGGAAGCTACCCGCGAACATACTACAATCCCTGGAATACTCACCGCATCTCATCGCACCCACTGGCGGAAAGGAGACGTTTGCGAACTTTTCGAAGACCGTTCGCGTGTTTCCGGCCGCGGAGACCGAGGCCATGCAAGTGCTGCCATGCACTGGCAGCAAGTTATGTTCGATATCTGCAAGCAGTGCGCAACAGTGTACATAAGCCAGCAGATGAGGAAGAGTCTACTCACTTCACGGCTCCGGTGCTAGGTCATACATCTCGATGGGCAGAGACGGCCCGTTCGAGAACGTCAGGCCACCCCGTTCCTCAAGGAGACGCCCTAGCTTCACTGCATTTTGCCAGCTTTCTCGCTGTCTTAGAGCAGGAGGACAGCGATTTGGACTCGAAAGCAGTCGAGTTCAGCGACAAAGTCAGCTGGGAAACTCCAAGCAAGGCGGGCACCCTGGCACTGCACAGCCCCAACATCGAAGGCTCTGTTAGAGCCATACTAGTAGCATGAGCTACAACCGACACGAGTACGGGCCAATGGGATGCCTGTTCGCTTCTTCGTAGCTCGAGGAGGATCCATGAAGCAAACCGAATGGCAGTGGTATGTGAGTAAAGTTGCGACCCGATCTACCACATGAGCCTGAAGGAGGTATCAAACAAGAGGATCAGAGGCGCATAGTATGGGTCCAGGCTCGTCTCCCTTCAAATCATCACTCGGATAAGTTTCCAGGTCGTGAATGCCTCATAACAGGAAAGTATGCAACGAGTAACCTGGAAAAATCGACGGGCTTATTCGCTGGCTGGTGCAAGTCTTGCTCATCCCTAGAAAAGTTGTTGGTTGCTTGGGAAGGTCATTGCCGCTGCGCAGTCCAAGGCCTCGCTGGCCTGTCGGCAGGCAACGAATTGCCACGGTATTCAGAGTCGCCAGCAGGTCCCAGAAGAAGCAACTGATGGCAACTCTAGTGCTGATAGAAAGGTCCCATGGCAGTCATGACAGTGTCGCTCGCTGGTGCCTAAAGTCAAAAATTGCGATTGGATCTGCTCGGCACTGCCAGGTCGGTCGATCGGTCCGTGACCGAGTCGCGACCCCGTTTGCTGGCCAAGCACAGGAGTTCGAGGCAGCACATTGACGCATTGCTTGGGGGCATGCTGCTGCGGTGTGGAGCAGGGTCCTCTCTGGGATACGCTGCATCCCTGGCTTTCCTGCAGTGTCGACCACAGGACCATCGCGTGCTGCTCACAACGGTCGTCTCCACAGTCGAGGATTGTATTTGGAGAGTGACTGGACGGATCACAATCTCCAACGTGCGCATGCGCGGGAGGAGTTCGAGGTGACATCCAACTTCCGTTCAAGCCGAGACAGGCGAAGCGGAGAAGAGCTGTGAGGTTGTGAGACGTTGTGAGCAAGAGCTTCAACTCGGCCCGGCCTGGGAGGATTCCGACACCTCACGTGACCTCGGAGATGCAGGTCGGAGTGGCACCTCCCCAGCCGCCCTCTGACTTTTTGCAGTTGGAAAGGAGACCCTCGACGTGAGCGCTGGGAAGACGGTCCGAGTCTCGCCCGCAGTCGACGTCGAGGCACATGCGCCGAAACGAACTACCATCTGCAAGCCCCACAGAATCTGTGAACTGAGAGGCCATTCCCGCATCAGGAAAGAGACGGTCAAGTCGAGACCGACAGGCAACCCCATTCTTCAAGGAGTGGAAAAGCACTGGCAAGTTCTGATTCTGGTCTTGGGAAGCGCGAAAACTAGTCCCAAGCCGCTTTATTAACGGGATGCCTTGCTGTCGGCGCGAAGTCCGAAGGAGGATGTGGTGAATACGGTCGAGATGCAGAACGACACTTTGGGTCACGAGGCCGAATCGGTGAGTGAACGACTCCTGCATCCACTGAAGTCCAGTGCTTCCGACAGAATCTGGATCGACCGGATCGAACAATTGCACGGTGTGACTTAGAACTACTCAGAACTGTAACCACTGTAATGTAAAATGTTTCCTATTCACATCTATGCAGAATATTCATGTAATGTGTATATATATATATATATGTATATTTATATACACAATTATATACACCTAGATCCAGCTCGGAGGGTTTGTGCACAGCGGAACTGATTGAATGCCCCAATAGGCTTGCCTCAAACCGTGGATTTACAATCAACCTCGAGCTGAGTCTCTCTTCACGGCACGGCTAGCACGCCCACCTCCTCGATCGCGTTGTTTCCGAACGGTGATTTACTACAGTTCCTTAAGCCCTCATGACCCTTGGTTGAGAGGAGACCCATCAGCACACCTCCGCTTACCTTCGTCATCATCTGTGGTCGCCCTGTGATGATTGTGATGCCCCCCCTGTGATAAAGGAGGAGGGCGAGGCGGCACCGTCATGATCGGCTTCTCTTCTTTAAGTTGTCCGTCATTTTATAGACGACATGAGCTGATGTGAAACAAACAGCGTGGCAAGCTCGAGCTGCCCGACCGACAACTCAGCACTGGATGTGATGTTTCATTTTACGTAAAACTTGCATGAACCCAAGGGCCAAGGGCCTAGGGCGTGCCTGGATAATGCCTTCTTAGCGACTCCTGCCACCTGCGCAGCTGTCCAGCTCCACAACAGCAAGATTGTGGATTGGCGGAAACATATTCATACTTGATTTGTTTCCTCCGACAACAGCACTACTGTTTTCATTCGGTAAGGGCTCCCATTTGTGTTGTCATGAGGATGCCAGCACTGCTTGCGCTAGCGTTTCAACGTTTCACGACAGCAGCGTCGTATGATGCTGCTGTAAAGGCGTAGGTAGCCACCAGAGAACTTTTCGAGAACTGGCGCCAGCCGACTAATGTGCTGCTGGTCGATGCCACAAAGCTGTCTTCCCTGGGCTGTCGCGGGCATATTGTGTTATGAGTGAAGATCTTTGGAAGAGCTCGAGCCGGCCCTTGATCTCTCAGAAGAATCAATGGTAGGTTCCAGGCGACGAACAAGCCTCACAGCAGAACTGGGAGAAGCATCCTGACCAGGTCTATAATCTTGCAGGCTCACATGCTGTGGCGGGATGTTGGTGCAAACGAAGGTGTCACATCGCTTTTACCAGTATCAGAATTGGCAAGAAACGTGAACAGGCGGTAGGGCTTAGGGATGCCTAGGGCATGGATCGCCAAATGGAAGGGCTCCAGGGACTCCAGGG